CTAAAAGAAACATCGCGCTTTGAATTTCCTCTAAAACAGTAAGTCTGCAGCAAGTATATTTTCCTTCCATCAAGTAGTTGCGGAGACTTTTAATCAGATTACTGACCGACGCAGTTCATCAAATCATAAAATAGCCCGAGTTCGACTTGAAAGAAAATGCTTTATCACTGTCAAACTTGACTCCATATTTTCCCCAGACTTTAATTCATTCATTTCCTTCCTTCTAAAGCTCTTCATTATTAACCAAGATTGGACATAAAGACAATATGTGAGGAGTCATGCCGCCGCATAGATGAGTGCTCTTTCTGTAAATGACCAGCAGTGGGCTGGTAAAACAGAGAGTGCATCGGGGCAAAGGGAGGACAGTAGGACGACTAAAAGCACTTTAATGACATGGCTGGACTCGTGTTTCCTAATGATGCAGGCGAGATTAATTATGCTCCGCGTATGGGTCATAATTATACGAGCACTGATCCTTTCCACCGGCTCTGCTCAGGCACTCTCCGCCCTATGCCTTGAGTTTCAGATAATCCATCAACACATTCGCATATTCCTTTCATTGTGGTGTTATTTATTTATCTATCACGGTTGTATATTTATTTCTTTACGTTTGACATAAGTAAGAGGGGGATTTTAGATCCTGCAGAGTGATCACGTTACACTTGATGTTATGAGTTGGACTCTAATTCTGATATCACTAGCCGTAAAATAGCTTTTTTCTCAGAACATTTTAATCAAAAGTATAATTATAAGTGTTTTGACTATTTACATCTCTTTTTACAATTTTGGAATTGAAGCAAATAGCCAGATTCTACTTTTAGTGTTCATACATTTCTTGTTGGTTTTTGATTTGCATGAGAAATATATGTAGTTTCAGCATCTAACAGATATTGGAAATAAAAAAAATTGAGTTTATGACATCTTAAGATGAAAATTTTTCGCCATATTTGGTGCAAGTGAAGCACCTACATGAGCTAAAACAAATCCTTAAATTAAACATGTTGTCATTCCCATCACAAGAGATGAAACCTGTAAAATTCAATCTGTTGGTCACGCTTTTAGCAGGAAGTTGGACCCAATCCCAGAATCAAAAAGGGAGGCAGGTATAAAGAACAAAAAGCCAGTTGTAATAAACAAGAGCTGATAACAAAGAACTGGTTAACACAACAACAACAAAACAGAGGGATCAGGGAAGGTACTACAAAACAAAGGAACATACCGAAAATAAACATGGAAAAATAGAGTAACAGCAATAGCGGTAGAGAACACTGAGAAAAAGAAGGCATATGTACACACTGGACCAATCACATTAACAAGACACAGCTGGAGGTGGCAAACACACAAGGGTGAGGGACACAGGTGGAGAGAATCAGGGCGGGGTAAGCAATCACAAAAAGGCGGGATCTAAAGAGAGGAAGTGAAATCAGACAGAACAGTGTTTTACAAAATAAAGCAGGAATCAGAAAATACAAAACCCACCAAACTTTGACAACTTGAACCCTAAATAATTGTATTTTGAATAAATGTCTTGTAAATTACTAATGCCCAATCAGGTAACCCAATTGTGATTGAGCCTAAAACCCAATTATTTCTTGCATTTTTGTCTTTTGTGATATTCCTGGAAAAATTACAAGCGTCCACCTTTGGGCAGTGAGATAAAAAAACACTCCAGCAATTACTGCTTATAGTCATAGTTGATGCCCAAGACAAAAAACAAATCTTTGAGATTGTAGCTTTATAGACCATGTACAATACATTACATTGCATGTTACTTGTTAGACGCTTTTATCCAAAGCGACTTACATACTCAATACTGTGGACAATCCCCACAGGAGCAATTTGGGGTGAAGTGTCTTTCCCAGGGACACAACGACATGCTGACTGCAGTGGGGTTTGAACCTGATCCGAACACCAACACACTAGTCCACTGCACCACATGAATTGAATTGATTTTGTTTTTTCATATGCAAACTATTGCTTTTGTCATAAGAAACTATTCAGACATCTCAAATGTATTAAGTTAATATAAAGATGATGTTATATTTCACTATTGCAATCTGTCCTTCCCTTTTGCAGTCTCTTAATATTCATTTAGGGAATAGTGTGTCTATTGTAGATTAGTCATGTCTAATATTGTCAAGTACAGTTACGATATAACACTTAGTGGAATTCTTCAGGAACAAGCGAGTGATCCTCGGAGAGACATGAGAGGCCGGATGGAGGAAAAGGAGGCAATTTTCCTTGAGGATAAGTAGAGTCAGTACTTGATTTAATAAATCTCTATGAGATGCTCCCGTCGAGCATCCTGAGAGCTGAGGGGGGGTTGTTGGGGAGAGGGATGATGGGCTAACAGGGATGTCTTAATTCCTTGACATAAACATACACACAGATTAATGAAGCCTTGGGAGATTGTGAGGAAGGGGAAAGATTGCTTATTGATCCATATCAACATTTTCATGCTAATCCCGGCCAGGAGACAGAGTGTCTGGTATCAGAGTTAATAATCTGATTTCTAGGCTGTCCAGGACAATTCCAGCCAACGTGAGGGCCTAATCACAGCGCCGTCTTCCCATCTGAGAGCAGCTGCCTTGGCCCCTGCAGCACGTCACCCCCCCTTCACCACATCACTCCCCCGCCCCCCGAGCCCCTGGCCCCTGCCACCGGCTCGGACAGTGATGGAGCATATGATAGAAAGGCGTTGACAAATTTAAAAAAAATTAATTTCAGAGGAGATTTGAAGCAGAAAGATTGGTTGAAGACGATGGTGGTTCGCTAAGTGCTTGAAGCACAGCACTGACCTTCGTCTGTAAGAGTGCTCGTGGGATTCCTCTGCATGTTCCCTCTCTGTGAAGTTTGACCTCCTGAGCAGTTGGTGGTGACAATTCTTGAGCTTAGAGTTGCACGGTTGTATCTGGGTGAATTGCAGTTTGGAGACAGGAAGCCTCAGTCCCAATTCCCTCGGCCCTACCCCTAGTTTTGAAGTGACCTCGAACAAGTAGTGGCCCTATCGGAAACGAGCCAAAGGGGATAAGGGTTGAGATCTTTATGTAGGAAATGGGACACTACTCGTCATGTCATCAGCAGACAAGTAAATTACAACGCATTTGTGTCTCAATTTCTGCTAGATGAGCAGGGAAATAAAGTCTCACATAGGGAAATAATGGTAGCATAACGAACACTCACACAACATTGTTAACACAAATTCCAAGGGACATCGTAAGGAGGATTTGTTTTGGAAATGCTTGATATCGGGATCCAATAGAATATTTATTTGCAAAACATCCCAACAAATGTCCATTTTTTGAATAATTATTTGTAAAGATGTACCCATTTATGGGCTTATTTCACTGCACACAACAAATTCGCCAGTGTGAAAATCCTGGTGTTAGGGCTTTTCGGGGTAAAGTGTTGTGGTTTTGGTGTTACATTTAACATGATAAACACCACCTGTTGTTAATACACTATATAGTACAGGGTTGGATCATGGTGTTAAACATATTTAACCACAGATAGTGTGTTCTCTCAATCCGGGTACGTTTACATGATGTGCGTGAAATTATTTAGATCTCCGCCATCTTTTTGATGCAACCATCAGTCTCGAGAGACCGCAGTCCGTGACGGTAAGTTATCGTTATAAGAATATTTGTCTGTACTGGCCGTGCACCTGCTTGCTAAACGTTAGCTAGCTGGCTATTTAGCTAGCTGGCTAGTTAGCTAGTTAGTTAGTTAGTTAGTTTCAAAACCTCTGAAAAAAGAAATGTGTCTCTCAGAATCGAAAGGGAAAAACCTATGGGAAAAACACAAAAGCAGTGTGCACAATTTAAACCTATTAATGTTGTGTAATTAACAAGGATAAAATTATGTTTTTTGGTGGATGAGTACTGCAAATATAGCTTTAAAATCATTTGACAGTGAGGGGAATACGGTTTTATTATGAACATTTCGAGACCGTAAATACTGTTTTCACCCAGTGAGGGTTGACGCTAACTTTACATGGACGTTGCCGTTACACGTTCTCCTGGCGAGACCTAAAATAATCTTCGTAATATCTATCAAACTATAGATCCTACACATCCACTGGACGGGGATTCTGAAAGTACAATATACACTTCTCGCTAGAAATCGAATCAAAAAGCCAAACTATCCTACAATTTAGGATTTTCCACGCGTGCGTGCGTGCGTGCGCGATTAGACATCAACTAGTCTATATTAATGGCTTATACTTGGGGGGCACTGTTAATGGGTTAAGCTGATATTTGGTCTTCAATCCATTTAGTGAAAGAGAGGTTTATCCCCATGCACGTGTCAAGCACACCACACATTTGATTCCTATAAACAATACTATCTTAAAAGGTAAAGTATTGTTTATAGGAATCAAATGTGTGGTGTGATTGACACGTGCATGGGTAAAGGCATACTGATTTAGCGAAAATACATAATTTTGTACTTACTTGGGAGTCTTGTTGAAAGCCTTGTTCTTAAGCTTTTGCTAGACTAAAAACCACCATTGCCGTGTAAGTATTGGTCCCAAATATATTGCGCTCTTGTGGACAACGACTTTGGGACTCATACTTGCAATGGAGGTTTTCAGTGGGTTTGTTGTATTTTTGAGAACACTTCACCAGTAGATTGCATAAAGACATGACAAAGGAAGATCATCATTTTAATATTCATATTTAATATCTCTTGTGTGATGACATTATTTTCCAGAGCCATCCTCATCCTCAGCCTCAGGCACAGATACTCTTTCAGTCACTTCGCAAAGCAGCAGTGAAAAGGATTTTTACAGTGGCACTCTGAAACGCATCAGAAAAGCGGCGGAGGCTTTGCAGGGTCCACAATCCAAAAATGTGAGTACATGTTCAATATGTCATGTAGACCATTGTTTTACATTTTAGTGACGTGTGTCCATCTGTCCATCCGTGTGTCTGTACCAGTAGATTGCTCATAAACCTACTGCTTACTTAACGGGTGTGATTTTTGTTGTGTTTTGTTTTAAGCTGATAAAACAGGTTCTGCTGACCAAACCAGGTGGAAGTGATGTGCTGAAGGAGTATGAGGGAAAAGGAACAATTAGTCCTGCCACAAGAAAAGTGATGGTGAACATTCTAGTTGTAGACATGGTGGAGAGTGAGGGGTAAGATTCAATTCTTTGTATAGCTTTGCATGAAAGTGTCATGTATGTATAGGTTAAGTGTGGATGAAGTTGGTGCAATTGTATTTCTACACAAATTGAGTTCATTAAGTTTATATGTTCGAAAACTAACTCTATCTTAGACTTAAATTAATTAAATGTAACCACTGACTGTTTTTGCTCTACAGGAGAATCCCTCAGCGACTGACCAAAGAGAAGTATGCTCTGGCGATTGTTACCCTGTTTCCCTCGCTCCAAGATCCACATGGGAAGACAGGATATGTGAGTTATTCTTGATTATGATCCGAGTAGACTATTTTAGATGGCTTACATGGTTCTTTGAATGCTGTGGGATTTCTATAACATGCCACTGCATTTAAGAATTCCTGTAGTTATATGCATAGGGTAGTTTAATTCATTTGGGCGGCTATGGCTCAGGAGGTAGAGCGGATTGTCCAATGACTGCAGGGTTGGTGGTTTGAATCCCGGCTTCTCCTGTCCACATGTCGAAGTGTCCTTGGGCAAGACACTGAACCCTGAATTGCTCCCAATGAGCAGGCCAGCACCTTGCATGGCAGCTGCCGCCATTGGTTATGTGAATGTTTGTGTCAATGGATGAAATGTCAATTTTATCCAAAGCGCTATACACAGTAAGTGCAGTCCATTACCATTCCTCTTATGTCCTTTTCGGTCAGGAGCATTATTATGACGGTCAGAAAGGCGGTGGGTTTCTAGCGTGGCGACTGAAGTCCGTTCAGAGAGCGACACGACTTCCTGTGAGGTTCAAGGATTCAAGAATAGAAGAGAATGGAGGCCCCATGCTAAGGAGAGAGATAGGCCACTGTGATAATCATCCAGATGAGCAGAGATTTCAAGAGCTCATATCTGTGATGAACCATACAAACGACAGAGAAGTCATAATGAAGAAGATGAGAGACACACTGGAATATAGACAGCGCCTTGTCCACGATCCTGACAGATCCTCCACTGTCCTTTCAGTATTCCCGCGGCTGCTGGACACTAAAGGATTGGTAATATTTTATTATTCCTACACTCAAAAAACTGACTTTTTGGTGTAGTAAAATATATTTAATTAACTGTCGTACTTTTTACATGGTAATATCAAGATTCACAAAGAACTAGAATTTCTTAGGTAACATTTTAAATGTATACACCTTTTATTCATGTAATACATTTACAGTGTGGGAGGAGTACGTTTTATTATATATTTACTCATACTATTTAAATGATTTATAGTCACTGCTCATAAACCTTAAAATATTACTTACTAAGTAAATGTTAATCTAAAACCATAGTAGCTGTTTGAATCCGCGCATGCGTCTTGACAAGACAAGATACCCGCGTTTTTGGACGACGGTTCAGTTGGGTTTGCAGTTGCACATTTGAAGGCTGTCGGAGGAGCTGCATGGCTGGAAAAAGAAGTGTTGGTAAGTTATTGTCTCTCTGTTTAAGACTTATGATAATATATGTGTCTTTGTGCATAATAGCCTGATTCTTGTTTGCTTGAACCATGTTAACGTTTCTGTGCATTAGTTCACAAAGTTGAGAGATTATGTTTTAGATATGTTACGTGCTGTTAGCTAGCTAACCTTAACTGTAATTTACCAGATAATTAAAAAAAACACTCACATGCATCTAAAGAAGGTTCCACGTTTTATTTCACGTCTATAAAACTAAGGGCATAACAGTTGGAATAGCATTGTCAAAAGCAGAGGAGAGGAAAAGTAATGTTAGCTGAGTTAGCGTTAGCCGCAGTTTTCCAAAATTTGCTTTGTCATCCTGTCAGGTTATGGTTACAATGGATTTTTTTAAACATTAAAAAAAATATGTACAGAAACCGAAGAGGTTACAGTGCTTGCATTATGTCAAAGACGCCAATCTATTGTGTTGTAGATATATTAGCTACTGAAATTAGCATGCTAACTGACTAGCCCTGGCATGTCCTGATTTGTAGTACCACTTCTTACTCGAGAGGCGATAGCGAGTCACTGTAGCGCCAGTCTGCCCCAACATGAGAGGACGAAGAAGTCGAGTTGGCCAGAGGGCTTGTCCTGTGCGTTTTGAAAGTAGTTTAATGTAGGAGACATGTCATGGCCATTTCCACTGATCATAATTCCATTGTTGAGGTATACTAAAATAGATTTATACTGTGCAATTTTCCAAACTCACATTGGTTTCGCATACAGCATCTCTGTAAAGTATGTGTATTCAGCAGTATTCACTCTCTCCACTAAACGACTTGTTTGTGCTCCTGCCCCTCCCTGTGAGCCCAGTGTGCTCCGATTGGTCAGCTCGGCCACTCTGTTCGGACCAGCAAACTTAACATGTTGCTGCCGTTACAGGGTTAGACCCAGCGCTACCACTGTTTTCTCGTTTCTGCCATCAATAAATGAACGAAGCGTACACGGACCAAGCAATCCCAAATGAAGCTAATTCACAGTAAACACACACACGGCTTAAAATGTCTTATAATTATATTGTTGTTGTTTTTTTTACAGTAAGTTAAAGTATTTTTTCTGCAGTTTGAGACCTGTGAGTTAGTGCATCACTAATTATAATCCAGTGATATAATACATATTATTGTCAAATGAGCCATTCTGCATAATGAGTACTTTTTACTTTAAGTTTATTTTGATACTAATACTTTTGAATTTTTACTTAAGTAAGGTTGTGAATGCATGACTTTTACTTGTAACAGAGTAAATACTCTGTTATAAATATACACTGTGGTATTGCTACTTTTACTTTAGTAAAATATCCACATACTGTTTCCACCAATTGTTTAATTTTTTTTCTTCAAATATTCAATCAAGTCTAATTAAGTGGAAATGTTATATTCACGAAGTTCATCTGTCTTATTTACATATCTGTCTATCAACAGGAAGCATAGCAGTACAGCAGTGAGCCAGTGGAGTCTAATTGGAGTGATTGCTCAGGCAAGTAGAGTGATATATTATTACTGTTATTCTTCACTGCGAAATGTAATATAAAATTGTGGATAAATGTTTAAACCATTGTTTTAATATTACAAATTATGTCTGTTCATTTACAGAGTGGCCTTACTTTTAAGTGGAGCGGCTGGAGCCAGTTGAGGTCTAGGGAGGAAGACAGTTGACAGATTTCCAAGCTGGTCTCACCAGGGAGAACATGTAGGACTCTTTATATTATGAGATGGTCATGCAAACATTGCAACTTCACGACATCAAAACGTTTACAGCTCATAAAGCATTATAGATTGAATCATCTACACAGCGGTCAAGGCCGGTCAATACCATGCTTGTACTCAGATTGTCCTTGTTCATTTAAAAGTTGGAGTGCTCTTCACACACATTTGTCTAGATACCGTACACAAACTGAGCAATTAGGGCAAATTCTTTCATTTTCATGTCTTGTATGTAACTTTTTCTCGGACTGGATGGGATTAAGCTGACCCCAAAAGTACAAGCTTTGAAGGTGAACCTGCTGCCTTAAAGACATGGAAAATGTGTTCTTCATATGTACCTTCCACTGTCCATGTTGCAATTGCTCAGTTTCAGGGAGCTGTATCAATCTCTGTCTCCCCCCTCTGCCATTTTTTTCTTTCTCCGTATAAACATTTCTCCTTCTTTCTCTCTCTCACACGGATTACAGTTGTTGCCGTCTATTCATATTCTGTTATATGTTTTTTTCCCCTCCTTAGGTAAAGAAACGTTTGTATTGAATGTTTAAAAAGCACCACTCCAAATCTATGATGGAGTAGATTTTGTATTTTTTGATAAGTTAATGTTAATATAATGTTAATGTTGCATGCAGTTATTATAATGTTAATGTTGTCGGTTAATAGTGATTGAATTGTTGACAAAATAAAGTTGAATTGTATTGTATTTTAGTTGTGTGATTTGTATCAATGTATATTAAATGCATAGATTATTACATTTATTAGGTAACATTTTTCAAAAGTAAATGAGTAACAATTACGTAATTAAAGTGAGTAATATAACTTCAAACAAATGAGTAATTCAACATTTTAAACAGAAAAAATATGATAAAATCTACTTATTTACTTCATAACAGTAACTATTACAGATATATAATATTTACTTAAACATTTGATAACAGTGATGTTCCTGTCCATGAAGAAAATAATTAGACTTTACTTAATTAGTTCAAATAAATATAACGTGTAACTTAAACATTATTAAGTAAGATTTACTTAATATTTTCACAAATGTTACGTCTGGTGATAAGTACATTTTACTTGATACTGGAAAGTAAGTTCTACTTGATATTACAGCAGTAAAATATACTTAAAAAAAGTAAGTGCAAATACTTGCTAAGATTTAATCAAGTAAATCCTACAAGTCGTTTCTTTCAGTGTACTTTTGCTTATTATGAATGTTATTTATTAGTAAATCTATTTTGATAGACGTTTTAAGCAACCTTCAGTTAAATGGAGATGATCTACACCTGTGAAATTGGCATTAGTAGTAAATTGAAAACCTGATGGTGGTTCTTGCGTTGGTGCTGTATATGTGTTTTAGATTCTCCATCCAAACTACTGGAAAAGTGGCCAACCTCCTTCAAAGCAAAGGTCATCCAACAGGCAGAAATGCTGACTTCCACACCCTTGCTGAAGCGCTTGTTGTTGTCTGCCAAGAACCAAAGGGGTGAAGAACCATCACTGGAATCACCAGGTATGGTTTTAGGAACTGCATTGTCATATCATGTCATATTGCCTATTGTAAATTGTCTATGTGAGGCTGGAGGGAGTGTATGACCACACAGTTGGAGAATGCCAGGGTACAGTGGATTTGGAAAGTATTCAGGCCACTTCACTTTTTCCATACTTTATTGTGTAGTGAGACTTCATGTCTTGTATTTTGCTCGTACATGCACTATGAACTGTTGGACATTATACAGATGGGTAAAAAAAGTTGATCATTGTTCTCTTTTCTTACAGAGTGGGACAGTGATATGGCATCCATCCTCCTCCTTCTGCACCTCCTGTCACCCCAGCCTGCGGGAAGGAAGAAAACCCAGAAGATCAGTGTAGCTCAGGCCATTGACCATCTAGTCGTATTTCACAAGGTATGTGGCAGGTTTAAGAATGTCAGATCTAGCCACCAGAACTACTACAGAGAGCTGTCACTATGATAAAGTAGGACTAGGCTAGTGCAAATATAAACTATTCCTAAAAACACACTCACATATTACACACACATGCGCATAGTTAGCCATGTAAAATGATAATTTTGCTTGCCTTGTCCTTCAGTCCTGTATAGGGATTGGTACCGAGCCCCGGTATTAAACGGGCCCCGGGGCAGAATTATTAAAGACCGTGGTACCGTTAAGCTCCGACGTTATCGTTTTTTTTATCGGTACTGGAGACATCTAAAAAATATATGTCATATGTATTATTGCTACACAAAGATTATATTGCAGTTTTAGTGTCGCCAACTCCGTTTCTAATATGCAAAAAGACTGCAAAATGCGTCTATGATTATTTGTAGTATTTTCGATCTTTCCAATCCAGACGAGAGATCTCTCTCTCCCCCGTCTGTGTGCGAGGGGGCGGGGCAGTTTACACACACGCAGCTGCTTCATGCAGCAACACACACACACGGAGGAGATGGCGGAGAGAACGCGCTCCAAGGTGTGGTTAAACTTTACCCGTCTCGAGGTGGACAATGCTCGTTGCCAAAAGTGCAATAAGAGTTTAGCATGTAAGGGCGGTAACACGAGCAATTTGTCTAAACATCTTGCAAAAGTGCACCACATCCAGAAGGAGAAATGCACCGTTTTCGACTGTCTTTCTAGTAGCTCTGTAGCTCCATCCACAAGTAATGTTTTCCACGTCAGGTATGATGTATGCTAGCAGCATTACACGGAGTTAACTCAATTATACAAACATGGGTTAATGATTAGAGTTATTTATCTTGTTAAAGTTTCAGCTATTCTGTTTACAATTCTGTCATCAGATTATTTAATACGATTTGTTAACCTGTTAAGCCCGAGAGACCGCGGTACCGGGGCACTGCCGCAACATCTTGCAGGAAACAGTGTCTGAGGGCATGTTCATTTAATAAGACTATGAATGTTTTATATCCATGTAACGGGAAGAAACTCATCTAACTGATACATTTTTTTTTTTTTTTAAAAGAAAACCCACAATGCTAACTAACACTGAGCCTCTGAATTAGCAACGAGCGAAAAATGCTAACACCTTACTGCACCGAAAATCACTCACAAAACCTTATTATTTATCTTTTCACCACATCCAACACATCGATTCACATCGTGAGGTGACACAGAATCTATTGACACCACTGCATTATACGTATTTGCGACGTTATAAGCAAAAACGGACATCAAAACAGGTGACGCTAGGTAGCTAAAAATGCTAACATTTTTACCTTGGCTCTGTAGTCTCTCCAAAGTGGTCTTCAATGGCATTAAAACGATAAAAACGCTGCTTAAGTTAATCCATATGTTAATCTAATGTGTCTGTGTCCCTTTGAAATGATTTCTGATAATCCATAAGCATTAAAACTGCTTTTCCGTTTCCAGATGTCAAAGCTAGAGATAGGTTCACTCTGATTGAAAATTACATGCGCGAAGCCCCCACCTTTTCTCTTCACAACGTGTGTGTGTGGGGGACTCCCCCTTCAATTCTATTGGCTGTAACGGTCAGAAAGAGGTGTCAACCATCAACATTGAGCAAGGGGGGCCAGAGATATGGAAAATCCACCCAAATTACCCCAGAAGTGGTTTCTTTTTGCTAAATCTCTCTAAAAACGTCAAATGTCACTTGTTTTGCATCAATCTTGATACAGGGTACTTATTATATGTTGTACTTTGGATTCCAGCTTTTAGTCTACTAACCCATCATCCAAGGGTGGTTTTCACTATAAGTAAAAAAGATTTTTTGGACGGACACTATAATTTACAGTTTTTTACTATGTAAAATCTGAATTTTCTTTAAAATAAAAAACATCTATATTGATTCTGATCATCCAACTCACAGGTTTATCATTACTTTGAGAAAAAAGATTATTAATTTAACCCTTTTAGAAGGGAAGATATGGTCATTTGTTCTGGGAATGTCATTTTCGAGCCTGTGACCTGAAAACCAGGCTCAGGGCTTAACAGGTTAAAACACTGTTGTTTCTTTTGATGTGAAATATTATTTATTTAATTTAAATAAAAAGCAATGTTCATTTTGTTCACAATTTGTTTAGTTAATTTACCTTATTTTTTCTCTCCAAAAGAACCGATAAGAGTACCGTTAAAAGACCGGACCGATAAGCGGTAACGATAAAAGTAGTAGTACCGTTAAAACCTTAACGATACCCATCCCTAGTCCTGTAGGAGTCTGGATGAGCACCTTCAGAGCCATATCGACACTAGCCAGCCATATCTTCTTGCTTCAGGGACCAGCAAGGAGGCCATCGGCAATTTCTTCATTGTGATCGACAAGAAGCTCATCCCCTGTGAGGCTACCACTTCCTTAGCAGCAATTGATGAACTTTTTAAGCTTCACTTAATGAAGTGCTATGATCCAGCACTCAAAAGCATGTACACATTTCTGCAAACAACTGTCTATAACATAGATGTTGACACCACCAGTGAGAGCCCCAAGGTCAAGGAACTGAGAACTAAGTTTGTGAGTAATGTATAAGTGTTACATTTGCAGATTATTGCTTGATACACCTGGATCCTTAACTCGGCACCTTAAGCTTGTTCATGGCTTGTATCCAGGGAAACAGTTTAATTTGATATGCGCTCAGGATGGCTGCTCATTGCAGTTCAAACGTTTTTTAGGTTTTAGAAAACACTTGAATAAATACCATGATAAGGATGGGGTCGTTTCAAGCAATAATCCTTCATTACCAGTCCAACAAGCTGCTGGTCTCAGGGAAGACATTTTACATGTTGGTGATTCTGACATGGATCAAGATTTGCCAAATCAGCAGGCCAGTGGGTCTGGATATTCTATCTCTAACGATCAGTCTAAAGAAATGTGTGCATCTATTATAGCCAAATTACAGGGCAGTGGTGTTGCCAATAGTGTTATATTGTCCGTTGTTGAAAGCATGGAAGAGTATTTTGATGAAGTTCACACAAATCTGAAGGAACAAGTGTTGAGTGTAGTGCCTCCTGATAATGCCAGTCGCATCGCAGTTGAGGAAGTTTTCAAAAATGTACATAATTCTTTCACTGACTTTAACACAGACAGTAAATGGAGGAAATATTTCAGTGACAATGGGGGGTTGTCGTACCAGTCAAAGTGCACCTCGGTGTTCGATTCGATTCAAAGAGAAACAAAATCTCTGGAATATATGAACAGGTACCAGTCAACGACACTTTCATTTATGTACCCATCTTGAAGACCTTGGAGTTTATTTTCAAGAATGAGGAAGTATGTCAACACATTCATGACACCAGACACAGTGACATGTATCAGGACTTTTCTGATGGACAGTATTATAAAAAACATCCTTTGTATTCCAAGTACAGTAATGCACTTCAAATTCAAGTTTATTACGACGATTTTGAAACGGCAAACCCATTAGGGTCTAAACAAGGCATTCATAAACTTGGATGTTTATATTTCACTCTTCGTAACTTGCCACCGCGCCTGAATTCTTCTCTAATGAATATCCACCTCATTTCATTGTTTCACTCGCAGGACGGGAAAAAGTATGGCATTGACAGAATACTTAGTCCATTGGTTGAGGACATAAAAGTACTGGAACAGGGAATTAAAGTGTTGTTTGCTGAGCAACCAATCTATGGTACCATTGCACAGATTATAGGTGACAATCTAGGCTTAAATGGCCTTCTTGGATATGTGGAATCTTTCAGTGCAAACCATTACTGTAGGATGTGTCTCACTGACAAAACATCAGCTCAGACTGTGTTCACTCAGGATGACCCGCGTGTGATTTTGCGCACAAAACTGTTAAATTAGGAACTTTACAGTCATCTCATTCAGAACCCAGGTGAAGGCCATTGTTATGGTATCAAACGTAACAGCATACTTAATACCTTGACATACTTCAACATATGTGATAACTTTGTGTTTGACATAATGCATGACATCTTAGAAGGTGTAGCACAAGATGAAGTCAAGCTGCTGTTTTTCTATTTAGGTGCCAATTTCATTTCTCGTGAGGGCATTCTCCAAAGAGTCTATGCGTTCAACTTTGGCTATTTGGACAAAAAGAACCGTCCTACAAGGATAAACCTTGAACAATCTGGCAACGGCATTGGACTCAATGCCAGTCAAACACTGTGTCTTATTAGGAACATTCCGCTCATGTGATGTAGTCCCAGAAGGTAACAGACACTGGTATTTACTGTTGTTGCTGTTGCATATCATCAATTTTTTATTTTCGCCCAGCATTACTGAGGGAATGACAATATTTTTTAAACATCTTATAGCAGAGCATCATGGTTTGTTCAAAGAGCTGTATCCTCTAAATAATCTCATTCCAAAGCATCACTTTATGATCCACTATCCTGAATGCATTCGCCAAATTGGTCCGTTGGTACATGAGTGGACTATGAGATATGAAGCCAAACACAAGTTTAAAGTCCAGCATAAAAAACTTTAAGAACATAACCAAATCCCTTGCAAAGAAACACCAAATAGCTATTGCATATCACTGGGAATCCCTTGCCATCAAAGGCATAGAGTCTGGGCCTGTTAAAACAGAAATGTTGACTGATCTTGAAAATGGTGAGATTATTTCAGAACATTTCCAGCTTGATCTGTCCAGTGAAGTAAGTGTCACACCTTGGGTCAAATGTCAAGGTATTGAGTATCGCACCGGTCTTGTTGTCTGCTTAGACTTGATGGATGAGATACCAGTGTTTGGGCAGATTGTTTGTATTTTTCTGATGAGAGCTGAAATTCATTTTTTGGTATTAGACATGGAAAGTTTATTTGTTGAGCATCTTCATGCCTTTAATGTTGTTAAGCAGGATAGTCTTTCAGTCATCAAACCTGATGCACTGCAATTTCATAAGCCTTTTGATCTGCAAATGTCTGCAAGTGGCAATGACACCCTTTTGTATGTTGTTTTAGACAGCTATGTGCTGTAATTTGTATTAATCCCTCTGGCATTTGTGTGTGTGTGTGTGCGCGTGCGGGTGCGTGTGTGTTGTGGGCGTGTGCATGCGAATGTGAGTGCGTTTCAGTGCGTCTGAATGTGTGTTTGTGTGGATTATTGTTTGAATCAGTGTTTCTCTTTTTGACAAAGCACACTTTGATTTCCGATTCTGTGTGGAACCTCAGGAAGCAGTTGAGATCCAAAAAGGTAGTTTGTAGGTACAAACAACCTTTTTGAACCTCAACTGCCATAGAGGGTTATTTTTTATTTGTGTACATATACATTTTTGCTGTTGAACAATATTGAATGTTGGTTGAATTGAATATTGTGAGAATTTGTCAGTCTTAAGAGACATGCCACCATTCAAATAAAGCACTTGTCATATATGCTGATATCTGGAATGATTTATTGGTCATTGTAACTGTAATAATAATACCAATACACTACATTTGACACTAGATTAGTGTTCATTTTGAACTCCCAGAGGGTTGAGGCTAATGCAAAATGCAACACCAGTATAATGTGCATTCAACACTAGCTCATTTCTAACTCTTAAAGGTGTTAGATGGGATACATTGTTTCACTACTGTAGTGTTACTCTACACCAGGACAGTGTACAATTGCAACACTATTAGTGTACATGTTTAACTCTTAAAGGTGTTGGATGGGAGAAGATATATCACTACTGTAGTTTTACTCTACACCAGGACAGTGTAAAATTGAAGCTGCAGCCAACACTGTTAGTGTTGTTCTTATCGGTGTTGGTGTTCAGTGTTGGTGTTCACTAGGGATGTTAAGATTCACCGATTCACATCGGTGCACCGGCATAAACGTTCAAGATGCGAGTGCAACAGTTGAAAGAGTGCACATCGGCTACAGTTTGGGTTGAACTCGCGATGCATCGATTGTAGCGTCTTTGCATCGGTAAAAAAACGATTCATTCATATAATATCCTCTCATCTTGTCAGCACTCAGCAGAAACGATCTTTGATCTTTGCTTCGCACTACGTAGGCCGAGAGTCTCAGTTATCAACACAAATGGAAGTCGAGGAGAAAGAGAAACACAGCGCACCGAAAAATACCTACAGATCAAACGTTTGGCAACACTTCGGATTTTTCAAGAAAGACGGTCAACTTGAAAAATCACTCGCAAATTGTAAACGATGCCGTGCCGCTTTAAAGTACACAAGTAGTACGAGGAACTTAGCGACCCACATAAAGAGGCGACATGGGGTCTGCAGCTGAAAAGAAAAACCTGAAAGTAAGACGTATGAGTTCAATCACTCAGTGAGGTGTTAGGTCAGAGAGTGGTGTTTAGTTTACAGCAGCCTGTGACTGCCAATAATAGTTTAAATGTCTTCCTTACAATTGTAAGCAGTTATGAAATACCTGTTTGTGAAAGGTTATTTGTATTCTTTATTGTTCATATAGAAACCACACCACTGCTTTCTGCTCACTGGTGAGTTAGCCTATGAATGAGTGTTAGCACATCAGTCTGGCAGTTGTATGGGCATTGCACTATGGTAGTTGTTATTTGCACATTGTTAATCATGGGCAATGCATCCTTAAATTGTTTAACTGTGAGGTGTTATACAATTGTATTGTACTCTGGAGAGTTTTTTAAGGTAAAAAAGGTAAAAAAAAAAGCATCCCATCATGCTGTTTCTTTTTTTACCTTTTTTACCTTAAAAAACTCTTATATGCAGCAAATCATAAATTAACAAAAAAGTGCTTTACATATTTGGTTCTCTCTAAAGGACTTTTTTGTTAATTTATGATTTGCTGCATATAAGGAATAAAACTAAATCCTCTGTCGTACCATATTGAAGTATCATTATTTTGCATCGTGTTGAATCGCATCGTATCGCCCCGTATCGCATAATGTTGAATCAAATCGTATCGAACTGTATCGCAACAGGGGTGAATCGTATCGTATCGCATCGCCTGGTGTTTCAAATGTATCGTTAATGTATCGTATCGTTGGCAACATATCGAGATGCGCATCGCATAGGCCTCAGTGATGGAGATGCACATCCCTAGTGTTCACATCGTACACTCTTAGTGTTGGTATAGTAACACTGTGATTGTGGAGTTAATTTAGGTTGTTTATTCATTTATTTTCTATTTATTTATTTCAATCATGAAGCATTAAGATACTGGTTAAGTTGTGCAGATTGTCATGCGAAATAGGTCTCAGTTGGGAGGGAACCTTGGTTCCAGTATGTTGTTTCCCTTGGGACTCTTTTGATGAGGGACCGTCAGCCATCTTGAAAAGGCCAGTGAAATGTTTGTCACTTATGTTTTGATCAGCCACAGGGCACACGGGCAGCCGCTGAGTGTTTGGTTTACACATGTGATTATGGTGACAGACTTTTGTTGTGTATGCTCTATGTAATTTGTGTGTAATGTGTTTTCTCTTAGGTTGATAACTTAACTGTAAATGGATTTGTATGAAGAAAAGCTGACTTGCTGATACCATGTGCTTCTTTGAGTGGAGAAGAGCATGTTAAATAAACATAAATCCGAAACTAAAGTTGAGTGGTCACGCCCCGTGTTGTCTAGC